CATCCCTTCTTGGTGGTGTGACTTTGAGCAAGGCACTGACCTTCTCAGATCCTTGGGCTCCTCGTCTATAAAATAAGGACACCTACCCATGTGGTTTGAGGGGCATGAATGTGATGACGTGCCTGAAAGACTTACTAAATAGATGTCACTTACTCTTCCTTGTATTTCTTTAGTACCTTCCGGATATGTGTACTGATAAATCAGGAAATGTGTCTGTCACCGGTGTATCCTTTCATCCTACTTATTCAACCTGTGTGCTGAGCAAACATGCTGAGAAACAGCCAGCCACAGATGACACGGACTTGGTTGCTGAAAGGGAAGAGGATTTGACGCCCTTGCAGATGAAAATCAAAGACCGCAGCTGTCAGAATGGATTGCAACTCTGGGTACAGAAAACCAGCATCCTCACAACTGGACCAGGAGGAAAGATCATGATATATGGCGGAGAGGATGAAGTCGTCAAAGGGTTCCATTTTGCTTGGATCCACAATGAGAGCATCAGTCAAGAAATCAAGAGACCTAGTGCATTGGGCCAATCTGCTGCACAAGACCTCGGTCAGGTGCTGAGGAGCAAATAGGTCTTTTTGAGGACTCAGGCATATCTGACCTGGGCCATGGTATTTTCAAGCACCACATATACATGCAAACGTTGAACAAGGAATCAGGAAGCTCACAAGAGTATGTACGATGGACGGCCAGAAGAACAAACAAATCTCTCTTAGAAGAAGTACAGCCAGAATGCTCTTTAGAAGCAAGGACAATGAGACTTCATCTCATGTACTTTGGCCATGTTATCAGGCAAGACCAGTCCCTGAACAGGGGCCTTGTGCTTGGTAAAGTAGAGTCGGTGTAATAAAGGAAGTCCCTCAGTGACGGGTGGACACCATGACGGCAACAAGGACCGCAAGTGTGACAATTGTGAGGAGGATGCAGCAGTGTTTTGCTCTGTTGTTAGAAGTTGGAACTGATTTGATGTCATCTAACAACAGCCTGTGTGTGCCTGTGATACAGAGTCTCTAGTAGAAAGCTAGATTCCCTCACACACTAATCGCTAACCTTGCTAGATGCTCTGCCTTCTACTGCCAAGATCAGTTCCCATGAAACTTTGGGCTGGATAAAAATCAGCTTCAGCCCCCTTCTCTCATTCCCTTTTCCCGGGTGGTGTTGGTGTTTGGCTACGGAGGACCAAGGCGCCCACTCACCTGTGGATGGAGGCCAGCTTGGCGGACTTCCTACCGATGGAGAACGCGGAACAGTGCAGTTCGGCCTCCCCCCAGGTCTTATTGAGTGGGAAGAACCGGAAGCAGTGGCCCTCGAACTCCATCCAGAACAAGGGGCACAGGGACACCTGGGGCAGCGCTGGCAGGGCTGTGGGCAGAGAGAAAACAGACAGGGAGGGAGGCTGGCAAGGCTGACCGTATTTCCACGCTTATTATGTGTCTCCAAGAATGAAGGTCAAACAGGACCCATCGTGATTAATCCAATTCCACGCCTGAGGTCCGAAAAGTGCAGGCATCCCGAAAATTTACAAAATAATGACCATAAAGTAGGCTCCTCACAGGACCCTTGGGCAATGTTAGCACTGGCTTGTATTTTTCCCTCACTCTGGTACGGAATGAAGGTATTTTCAGAAAACTCGATTGGAATCAGAGTGGCAGCATCCTGATTTCACAAATACTGTGAGTATGTAGTGTTTCCCCAGGTGAGGATATATTTTGGGTAAACATAATTTTAAACACACCTGGAATACTCCATGAGTGGACTCAACCAAGCCAAATCAAACTCACTGCCAAGTTGATCCCGACTCACTGCCGCCCTGTAGGACAGGGTAGAACTGCCCCTGTGAGGTTTCAAGACTGGAACTCTTCCCAGGAGGAGAAAGCCGCCTCTCTTTCCCACAGAGCGGCTGGCAAGTTTGAACTGCGGACCTTGGGTCAGCAGCCCAACGCCTAACCACTACTCCAAACATACCATGTTATCTCTTCATTCCATTTTCCCACGAGCTATTTGAAGTCCCTTTGTACTAGAGTTTATTTAACCGTTTTTCTGACATTTGGATAATTATATGAGTTCCTTTAAAAAAAAGAAACTATTACAAAGAACGTTGAGATGAACAGCTCTGTGAATAAATCAATTTTTAGCATTGCCGGTGATTTTCTGAGGAGAGATTTTTAAGGCTTCAGTGTAATTTGCTAAATTACCTCTTGAAAGCCATTTCTGTCCCCATGGTCCTGCCGGGGAGCTCCCTTCTCCCGGTGTGCTCAGCAGACCAGAGTGCTGTCTCTGTAATGGAAATCTTTGCAAACAGTGCAGGGTTAGGGGTGGGGTGGGTAGGCTGGGGCCTGTGAATGGGGCTTCATTGTGCATTGGGGCTACCCGTGCAGGGTACACTCCTTCTACCTGGCTATTAACAGGGTATCAAAAAGAGTCACTATTGAGGCGATTCAATTAGTGCTGACTCCCCGTGTGTCAGAGGAGAACAGCTCCTGAGGGTTTTGTGGGATTTTTGCCCCCCCTCAGTGGCTGATTTTTCAGAAGTAGAGCACCGTGGCTGTCTTCTGAGGCACCCATGGGTAAATGTGGACCACTAAGCTCTCAGTTAGCACCCTAGCCCGTTCACCATTTACACTCCCCACCACAAGCGCTCCAAACCAAACACAGTGCCTCCGAGTCGATGCTAACTCATAGCAACCCTATAATATAGGGTAGAACTGCTCTTGTGGGTTTCAGAGTCTATAACTCTTTACAAGAGTAGAAAGCCCTGTCTTTCTACCACACAGCGGATGGTGGTTTCGAACTATCATTGTCATTTTTCCAGATATCATGACCTCGCCTGCCCTTGTGCCTTCTTTATTCCACAGTATAAAATCTCCCCTGTGTGGGCATGATAGTAGGACAGGAGGAAGGTGAAAGGAAATAGAGGGAAGAACTAGGAGGCAAGAGCTGTTTATAGAGGTTTAGCTATAGGCATGTATATATGTAAATATATTAATTTATAATGATAGGGATGTAGGTCAATGTACATATTTATGTTAAGTATTAAGATAGCAGATGGACTTTGGGCCTCTACTCAAGGCTTCCCTAAACACAAGAACACTTTGTTCTAATAACCTGGCACCCTGTGATTCTCACCTTCCCGACACGATCACTGAAGCTAAAATGGGTGCAAAAGCAGATGTGGGGAAGAAAGCGGATGGTGCCTGGCTATCAAAAGATAGAGCATCTGGGGTCTTAAAGGCTTGAAGATAAACAAGCGACCCTTTAGCTGAGAAGCAACAAAGCTCACATGGAACAAGCACACCAGCCTGTGTGAGGTGTCAAGGGGATCAGTTATCAGGTATCAAAAGATCCAAATCAAACAGTTATATCGATATGAAAGTGGACACCTAAAGCCCATCTGTAGACAATTGCACAGGGCCCCCACGGAAGGGTTACAAGGAAGGGAAGATTCAACCAGAGTGCAGTATAGCACAGAGGAAACACACACCCTTCCTCTAGTTCCTGAATGCTTCCCCTCCCACTACCACGACCCAGTTCTACCTTACAAATCCGGCTAGACCGGAGTACACACAAGGGTATATAGTTAAGGGCTTTTGACACATGGAATGCAGGACAGATAACCCCCACCCCAGGAACAGTAGTGGGAGTAGCGATATCATGAGGGTAGGGAGGGGCATGTTAGGGGTGGGTGGGGGGAAGGGGGAGAAAGGGGGAACCCTTCACAAGGTTGGATATATAGAATCCACATTTTAACATGATAGATCGCAAGGTGATTTGATTTGTCTGTACAGTGTCCTACTGTGTGCCACTCACTCACTCACTCACTCACCCACATATTCCGGCACTGGCAATGGGAAATGAATAATCCATTAGCCACTGGGGCTGGGTGGGGGAAAGGGAAAAAACAGTCAGCTCCCAGCAGCAGCTCCAAGGCTGCTTCTGGGTCCTAAAGCCGTTGTATTTAAAAAAGAAGTCTGTCTCGGAAATGAGTTCCCTCCTCCCTCCTGGCCACTTCTGGCCCAGTGGACAAATGGCAGTCATGGATTCCTGAGGGGAAACCTACCAGAAAATAGGGCCATGGCAGGTCACTGCCTCATGGTTCCCCTTTCTACCTGGCCCAATTAACTCCAAGCTTGATTCAGGCGTCCCTCCGCCCTCCCCCTACCTCGGGGTTTTTAGACACTGGGACTAAAAGGCTCCCCAAACCAACCAATCAACCAATCCCCCGGACCAAAAAAGCACCCCAAACCCCACTGTTATTTGGTCAATCGCCACTTGTGTTGTTGTGGTTGTTAGGGGCGATTGAGTTGGTTTTAACTCCTAGTGACTCTGTGTGCAATGAAACACTGCCCCGTCCTGTGCCGTCCTCAAAATTGTTCTTATATCTGAGCCCATTGTCGTGATTATGCCAATCCATCTCTTTGAGGGCCTTGCTCTTTTTCACCGCACCTCTACTTTAATAAGCATGACGTCCTTCTCCAGGGGCAGGTCTCTCCTGACAACCTGCCCAAAGTAGGAGAGATGAAATCCCGCCATCCTTGCCTGTAAGGAACATTCTTTCAATATTCTTCACCGGCACCATCATTCAAAGGCATCGAGTCTTCCTCACTCTTCCTGATTCAATGTCCAACTTTCACATGCACATGGAGTGACTGAAAACACCATGGCTTGGATTGGGGGGACCTTCGTTCTCAAAATATCATGCTTTCTGGTGACTTTGTATAGGATATCCGAGGCTGTAAATCTTTACAGGAGTAGATAGCCTCATTTTCCTCCTGCAGAGCAGCCAGTGTGTTTGAACCAATGACCTAGGGAGCTTCTTATTAACCTGAACCCTAAACCAGCCCTTTGTGTAGGGGCTCCGGTGGGTTTCTTGCCTGAATTGTTGGGATAATAATGTACAGCCTAGGCAACCCTCAGTCAGACACGGTGCCAAGCACTTCCCACAGAACGACTCATTTAATTCCATCTTTACGCTTCCCTGGAGGCCGGTACCACCATCACGCTCCACTTCAGAGAGGAGGAAGCCAAAGCACCAAGAAGCTTAGTAACTTGTCCCAGATCACGCAGCTGCTAGGGGGCCAAGCTGGGATCAGAAGCGAGGCTGTCTGGGGTGGAGGTTCCTGCTGTGTTCAAGCCTGATTTCTTCTGCCCCAATCTCATTGTACTGGCCATTTTGATTTTTTTCTTTATTCATCTCATAAGTACGTTTGAGCACCTTTTAGGTTGCAGTTGACTGTGTGCTGCTAATGCCAGGACAAACGATACAAATGGGGTCCTGACCTCATGGACCACAACGTTTCTATGGAAACCAAACCAAACTTGCTGCCATCTAGTCCATCTGACGCCTAGTGACCCCGTGGGACAGAGTAGAACTGCGCTGTGGGTTCCCGAGACTGTGAATCTTTATGGGAGGAGAAAGCCTCACCTTTCTCACATTGAGTGGGAGGCTTTGAACTATTGGCTTCGCTGTTGGCAGCCCAGTGCATCCCTCCCACACCACAGGACTCCTCTCTGTGGGGACAGAAAGCAGGAAAATAAGCACAGGGATGAAGAGGCCATTGACCGGCAATGTGTGGACGTGTGATGCAGACACAGATGTTGCCAGGGGAGCAACACACAACTGAGATTGGCCCATCACCTAGGCTTGGAGATCCAGGGAGGTATCCTAGAGGAGGTGATGTTCCAATTGAGACTTGCAGGATGACTAGGCGTCAGAGACCATCTGAGATACAACTATGGGTCACTACCTGTCTGGAACAAACGAGAACAAAAGAGAAGGAAGGAGCCGAGGACTCAAAACAGAAGCTAGCCCACAGTGCTAATAGCTCACAATTGCCAAGGCTTCCTCTTGCCTGAGACCAGAAAATACTAGATGGTGCCTAGCTACCATCCTTGCTGGTTCTGATCAAGGGCACAATAGAAGGTCCCAGACAGATTGGGAGTAAATACAAAATAAAACTCAAGTCTCTAGAAGAGGAAGATTTACTAGACTGCTAGAGACTCAAGGGGCCTGAGACTGTCACTCTAACTAACATACCTTTTGAACTTGGAACTAAGGCCCAAGATCAACTTTCATCCCGATAATACTCTGCTCCCTTAAGTCATGACGAGAAGGCAAGGAAGGGCAGGGAAGCTAGGTGAATGGAAACAGCACCAACAAAATGGAAATGACGAGAAAGCCTGCACACTGTGAAAACCGTGACCCAGGTCACCTTTTTAAAACTGTGGATAGAAAATATTCAATGGGAACCTAATTGGCCATGCAAACTTCTCCCTAAAACACAGTAAAATACTGGTTAAGGGATAAGAAAGGTAGGTCAGAGACAGTGTGTTACGGTAGACTATACAGTGAACCCTCGTTTATC